TGGAGAAGCGGTGCGTCGGTGCGCGCCCGGGATCCGAACCCGGGCCGCCAGCAGCGGAGCGCGCGCACTTAACCGCTAAGCCACGGGGCCAGCCCCGCAGGGAGGCTTCTTGTCATCAAGGCTGTGACACGTGGGGACATGTCAGATTTCCGCTGACATGAAGGAGATAAGGCAGGAGGACAGGGCAGGGAGTGGAGCCCAACTCTCTGGTTTTGCTTGTGGGAGCTTCTCGGGTCTCCTCTTCAAGGGTGTTTCCCTGAAGTTTTCCGTGACGTTTTAGAATGTTCTGGCTGGAGGCTACTTCTCCCCTAGAGGTTTAGAAACCACAGTCACAAGTGGCTTTTTCTGAAGTTCCTGATCAGGAAGGTTTCCTGGGTCATTGCCCACAGGTTTGTGGGTGGGATGGCAAATCTTCAGTCTGACTTAGAAGGGATGTGTCGTGCTTTAGAGAGGCACGTTTTTATAAAGCGGATTGTTCTAGGAAAGTGAGACTGTGTTAGTGTGAGTGGAGGCAGAAGCCCTGACTCCTGTCCCTCCTGCGTGTCTCGTGGGGACTGTGTTTCCGTGTTGAGCTGGTGCAGTGGTTCTTACCTGGATCCTGTTGCTCCCTCAGGCTGGCTGGAGCTTGGTCATTACAAAGCACTTTCAAAGCCGTGACCTGTCGTGACCCTTCACCATGGGCTGGGCAGGGTGCTCTTTGCAGTACAAGTGGGGAGCCCACAGCCTGTGGGGTTCAAGGCTTCTGTCCAAGTAACAGCGGAGCCCAGACTGGAACCTGCGGGCTCTGGACTGAAAGCCTGGCCTGGCTTTTCCCACTGTGTCATTTTGCACCAGCAAACAGGCAGAGGGAATGGGGCGTGTGATCTCTCAATTAGGAATAATTCAGTAGTGGATTTTATACTGGAAAGCAATTCTTTACAAAGATAAATTGAGTACACGGTTTGTGCTCGCTCTGTCAACCTTGAACCTAAATAGCAATCTTCTGTTCTTTTGCTCAATTCATTGTTAACTGTCTATGCATATGTATGTATCTCTGTCTGTCCTCCTGTCTACCCTTTCACTTACTCATCCCTCTCTTCCTCTCTTTCTTCCTCCCTCTCTCCCTCCCTGTATCTACCTATCCACTCATCCATCCATCCACTCACCTATCCATCCATCCATCCATCCATCCATCCATCCATCCATCCATCCACCCACTCACCTATCCATCCACCCATCCATCCATCCACTCACCTATCCATCCATCCACCCACCCATCCATCCATCCACTCACCTATCCATCCATCCTTCCGTCCATCCATCCATCCATCCACCCATCCATCCATCCATCCACTCACCTATCCATCCATCCTTCTGTCCATCCATCCATCCATCCACCCATCCATCCATCCATCCATCCACTCACCTATCTATCCATCCTTCCGTCCATCCATCCGTCCGTCCATCCATCCATCCACTCACCTATCCATCCATCCACTC